GTACCTACGGATTGAAGGATGGATTTCACCCTCTTCACTCCTGTAGACTTTGCCTGCAGAAAGCCTGACTACTCAGACTTTGTGGGTGAAGTGAATGTCTGTGCCTATATGAAATGACTGAATGCTTTAAAAAAGGTGTCATACGAGCTAGGTATTATTAATGGCAGCAGCCACTGGACTCATAAGCAATCCTGTAGTAAAAGATCAAAGAGATCCATCTGCCGGCCCCATTTGAGTGAAGGTTCTGTCAGCATTCCCATTATACAATCACTTTTTCAGACACTTAAGAACATAAGAACGGCCATACTGGGTCAGATCAATGGTCCATCTAGAGTAGCCAGTCTCCGACAATGGACAGTACCAGGGCTTCAGGGGGAGTGTACAGAACAGGGCAGCTGGATGGATCCACCCCATTTTCCTCTTCTAGCAGTCAGAGGTTTAGGTATACCCCAAGCGGAGGGTTGCATCCCTGACCATGTTAGGGTGACCAGACAGCAAGTGTGAAAAATCGGGACAGGGGGTGGGGGGTAATAGGATCCTATATAAGAAAAAGACCCCAAAATCGGGACTGTCCCTATAAAATCGGGACATCTGGTCACCCTAGACCATGTTGGCCAATAGCCATTGACGGATCTATTCTCCATGAAATGACCTAGTTGTTTTTTTAACCCAGTTATACTTCTGGCCAGCGCCTCAGCCCAGGGCCCTGAGTGCCACAAGTTAATTTTGCATTGTGTGGAAAAAGTACTTTGTACAATTAACATGTGGAATGCCTAGCCAGGGGATGTTGTGAAGGCCAAAAGTACCACTGGGTTCAAAAGAGAACCAGAGAAGCAAACGGAGGAGAGGTCCATCAAAATTTGTCTTAAGTATTTCAAGTTCAAACAAGGTCTCGGCCTAGAAGCAGAGTTCCTGCAGCTGATGTAGGGCCCTATCCTACGCCTGATGTCGGCAGGGACTCAGAACAATGATCTGATACAATGAGTTGCTGCAAAGGGCCGGCAGCAGGAAGGAAGGATGGATTTCAGCTTTTACTCAAATGCTGTCGTTTTGCAGGTGAACATTAATATAAGCTGAGATTTTCAAAAACACCCATGGGTGTCTGGTCCCTTGAATTGGACACCTAATTCCCTCCGATTGCTTGAAAAATCTCACCCTTCGTACACAGAAATATAAACATAACCCAGCAAAAGCTAACAAGGCAGAACTATACAGCCCTTCTTCAGCCGCTGCAGGAGGGTGCTTCTTGGAATTTTACCTCAAGGTTCAACTATACTTGTTTTTAGTGGCTGGGGGGGACTTTCTTTAAGGGATTTATAGGTGGAGGTTTTTTTATATGATTCT